CATAGAAAAGAGATCTGCAAGGTGTTCATTATGACTTTGTCATGTGATTTACAACCTTCCCTTTTCTTCTTTTATCCTATTGATCCATCATAGAAAGAGATCTGCAAGGTGTTCATTATGACTTTGTCATGTGATTTACAACCTTCCTTTTCTTCTTTTATCCTATTGATCCATCATAGAAAGAGATCTGCAAAGGTGTTCATGATGATTTGTCCATGTGATTTATTATCTTTGTCATTTTTTCTTTTTTCTTCTTTTATCCTATTGATCCATCATAGAAAGAGATCTGCAAGGTGTTCATTATGACTTTGTCATGTGATTTACAACCTTCCCTTTTCTTCTTTTATCATATTGATCCATCATAGAAAGAGATCTGCAAGGTGTTCATTATGACTTTGTCATGTGATTTACAACCTTCCCTTTTCTTCTTTTATCCTATTGATCCATCATAGAAAGAGATCTGCAAGGTGTTCATTATGACTTTGTCATGTGATTTACAACCTTCCCTTTTCTTCTTTTATCCTATTGATCCATCATAGAAAGAGATCTGCAAGGTGTTCATTATGACTTTGTCATGTGATTTACAACCTTCCCTTTTCCATCTTCTTTTGTCATATTGATCCATCATTCCCTTTTCTTCTTTTATCCTATTGATCTGAAAGGTCTCTTGTTCATTATGACTTTGTCAGGTGATTTACAACATTCCCTTTTCTTCTTTTATCATATTGATCCATCATAGAAAGAGATCTGCAAGGTGTTCATTATGACTTTGTCATGTGATTTACAATCTTCCCTTTTCTTCTTTTATCCTATTGATCCATCATAGAAAGAGATCTGCAAGGTGTTCATTATGACTTTGTCATGTGATTTACAACCTTCCCTTTTCTTCTTTTATCATATTGATCCATCATAGAAAGAGATCTGCAAGGTGTTCATGATGACTTTGTCATGTGATTTACAATCTTCCCTTTCTTCTTTTTTATCCTATTGATCCATCATAGATCCATCATAAGGTGTTCATGATGACTTTGTCATGTGATTTACAACCTTCCCTTTTCTTCTTTTATCCTATTGATCCATCATAGAAAGAGATCTGCAAGGTGTTCATGATGACTTTGTCATGTGATTTACAATCTTCCCTTTTCTTCTTTTATCCTATTGATCCATAATAGAAAGAGATCTGCAAGGTGTTCATTATGACTTTGTCATGTGATTTACAACCTTCCCTTTTCTTCTTTTATCCTATTGATCCATCATAGAAAGAGATCTGCAAGGTGTTCATTATGACTTTGTCATGTGATTTACAACCTTCCCTTTTCTTCTTTTATCCTATTGATCCATCATAGAAAGAGATCTGCAAGGTGTTCATTATGACTTTGTCATGTGATTTACAACCTTCCCTTTTCTTCTTTTTTATCCTATTGATCCATCATAGAAAGAGATCTGCAAGGTGTTCATGATGACTTTGTCATGTGATTTACAACCTTCCCTTTTCTTCTTTTATCCTATTGATCCATCATAGAAAGAGATCTGCAAGGTGTTCATTATGACTTTGTCATGTGATTTACAACCTTCCCTTTTCTTCTTTTATCCTATTGATCCATCATAGAAAGAGATCTGCAAGGTGTTCATGATGACTTTGTCATGTGATTTACAACCTTCCTTTTTTTCTTTTATCCTATTGATCCATCATAGAAAGAGATCTGCAAGGTGTTCATTATGACTTTGTCATGTGATTTACAACCTTCCCTTTTCTTCTTTTATCCTATTGATCCATCATAGAAAGAGATCTGCAAGGTGTTCATTATGACTTTGTCATGTGATTTACAACCTTCCCTTTTCTTCTTTTATCCTATTGATCCATCATAGAAAGAGATCTGCAAAGGTGTTCATGATGACTTTGTCATGTGATTTACAACCTTCCCTTTTCTTCTTTTATCCTATTGATCCATCATAGAAAGAGATCTGCAAGGTGTTCATTATGACTTTGTCATGTGATTTACAACCTTCCCTTTTCTTCTTTTATCCTATTGATCCATCATAGAAAGAGATCTGCAAGGTGTTCATTATGACTTTGTCATGTGATTTACAACCTTCCCTTTTCTTCTTTTATCCTATTGATCCATCATAGAAAGAGATCTGCAAGGTTCATTATGACTTTGTCATGATTTACAACTTTTTCTTTTTATCTTTGATCCATCATGATGTGATTTTACAACCTTTTTTTTTTTTTTTTATCCTATTGATCCATCATAGAAAGAGATCTGCAAGGTGTTCATGATGACTTTGTCATGTGATTTACAACCTTCCCTTTTCTTCTTTTATCCTATTGATCCATCATAGAAAGAGATCTGCAAGGTGTTCATGATGACTTTGTCATGTGATTTACAACCTTCCCTTTCTTCTTTTCCTATTGATCCATCATAGAAAGAGATCTGCAAGGTGTTCATTTTGTCATGTGATTTACCATCCTATTGATCCATCATAGAAAGAGATCTGCAAGGTGTTCATGATGACTTTGTCATGTGATTTACAACTTCCCTTTTCTTCTTTTATCCTATTGATCCATCATAGAAAGAGATCTGCAAGGTGTTCATTATGACTTTGTCATGTGATTTTACAACCTTCCCTTTTCTTTCTTTTATCCTATTGATCCATCATAGAAAGAGATCTGCAAGGTGTTCATTATGACTTTGTCATGTGATTTACAACCTTCCCTTTTCTTCTTTTTATCCTATTGATCCATCATAGAAAGAGATCTGCAAGGTGTTCATGATGATGACTTTGTCATGTGATTTACAACCTTCCCTTTTCTTCTTTTTATCCTATTGATCCATCATAGAAAGAGATCTGCAAGGTGTTCATGATGACTTTGTCATGTGATTTACAATCTTCCCTTTTCTTCTTTTTTATCCTATTGATCCATCATAGAAAGAGATCTGCAAGGTGTTCATTATGACTTTGTCATCCTGATTTACAACATTCCCTTTTCTTCTTTTTCTTCCTATTGATCCATCATAGAAAGAGATCTGCAAGGTGTTCATGATGACTTTGTCATGTGATTTACAACCTTCCCTTTTCTTCTTTTTTATCCTATTGATCCATCATAGAAAGAGATCTGCAAGGTGTTCATTATGACTTTGTCATGTGATTTACAACCTTCCCTTTTTTCTTTTTATCCTATTGATCCATCATAGAAAGAGATCTGCAAGGTGTTCATTATGACTTTGTCATGTGATTTACAACCTTCCCTTTTCTTCTTTTATCCTATTGATCCATCATAGAAAGAGATCTGCAAGGTGTTCATGATGACTTTGTCATGTGATTTACAACCTTCCCTTTTCTTATCTTATTGATCCATCATAGAAAGAGATCTGAAAGGTGTTCATTATGACTTTGTCAGGTGATTTACAACCTTCCCTTTTCTTCTTTTATCCTATTGATCCATCATAGAAAGAGATCTGCAAAGGTGTTCATTATGACTTTGTCATGTGATTTACAACCTTCCTTTTCTTCTTTTTATCCTATTGATCCATCATAGAAAGAGATCTGAAAGCTGTTCATTATGACTTTGTCAGGTGATTTACAACCTTCCCTTTTCTTCTTTTATCCTATTGATCCATCATAGAAAGAGATCTGCAAGCTGTTCATTATGACTTTGTCATGTGATTTACAACCTTCCCTTTTCTTCTTTTATCCTATTGATCCATCATAGAAAGAGATCTGCAAGGTGTTCATTATGACTTTGTCATGTGATTTACAACCTTCCTTTTTTCTTTTTTTTATCCTATTGATCCATCATAGAAAGAGATCTGCAAGGTGTTCATGATGACTTTGTCATGTGATTTACAACCTTCCCTTTTCTTCTTTTATCCTATTGATCCATCATAGAAAGAGATCTGCAAGGTGTTCATGATGACTTTGTCATGTGATTTACAACCTTCCTTTTCTTCTTTTTATCCTATTGATCCATCATAGAAAGAGATCTGCAAGGTGTTCATGATGACTTTGTCATGTGATTTACAACCTTCCTTTTCTTCTTTTTATCCTATTGATCCATCATAGAAAGAGATCTGCAAGGTGTTCATTATGACTTTGTCATGTGATTTACAACCTTCCCTTTTCTTCTTTTATCCTATTGATCCATCATAGAAAGAGATCTGCAAGGTGTTCATTATGACTTTGTCATGTGATTTACAACCTTCCTTTTCTTCTTTTATCCTATTGATCCATCATAGAAAGAGATCTGCAAGGTGTTCATTATGACTTTGTCATGTGATTTACAACCTTCCCTTTTCTTCTTTTTATCCTATTGATCCATCATAGAAAGAGATCTGCAAGGTGTTCATTATGACTTTGTCATGTGATTTACAAACCTTCCCTTTTCTTCTTTTTTATCCTATTGATCCATCATAGAAAGAGATCTGCAAGGTGTTCATTATGACTTTGTCATGTGATTTACAACCTTCCTTTTCTTCTTTTATCCTATTGATCCATCATAGAAAGAGATCTGCAAGGTGTTCATTATGACTTTGTCATGTGATTTACAACCTTCCTTTTCTTCTTTTATCCTATTGATCCATCATAGAAAGAGATCTGCAAGGTGTTCATTATGACTTTGTCATGTGATTTACAACCTTCCCTTTTCTTCTTTTATCCTATTGATCCATCATAGAAAGAGATCTGCAAGGTGTTCATTATGACTTTGTCATGTGATTTACAACCTTCCCTTTTCTTCTTTTTATCCTATTGATCCATCATAGAAAGAGATCTGCAAGGTGTTCATTATGACTTTGTCATGTGATTTACAACCTTCCTTTTCTTCTTTTATCCTATTGATCCATCATAGAAAGAGATCTGCAAGGTGTTCATTATGACTTTGTCATGTGATTTACAACCTTTCCTATTGATCCATTTCTGCAAGGTGTTCAACCTTCCCTTTTCTTCTTTTTATCCTATTGATCCATCATAGAAAGAAAGAGATCTGCAAGGTGTTCATTATGACTTTGTCATGTGATTTACAACCTTCCCTTTTCTTCTTTTTTATCCTATTGATCCATCATAGAAAGAGATCTGCAAGGTGTTCATTATGACTTTGTCATGTGATTTACAACCTTCCCTTTTCTTCTTTTTATCCTATTGATCCATCATAGAAAGAGATCTGCAAGGTGTTCATTATGACTTTGTCATGTGATTTACAACCTTCCCTTTTTATCTTCTTTTTATCCTATTGATCCATCATAGAAAGAGATCTGCAAGGTGTTCATTATGACTTTGTCATGTGATTTACAACCTTCCCTTTTCTTCTTTTTTATCCTATTGATCCATCATAGAAAGAGATCTGCAAGGTGTTCATTATGACTTTGTCATGTGATTTACAACCTTCCCTTTTCTTCTTTTTTATCCTATTGATCCATCATAGAAAGAGATCTGCAAGGTGTTCATTATGACTTTGTCATTGATTTACAACCTTCCTTTTCTTCTTTTTTTATCCTATTGATCCATCATAGAAAGAGATCTGCAAGGTGTTCATTATGACTTTGTCATGTGATTTACAACCTTCCCTTTTCTTCTTTTATCCTATTGATCCATCATAGAAAGAGATCTGCAAGGTGTTCATTATGACTTTGTCAGGTGATTTACAACATTCCCTTTTCTTCTTTTATCCTATTGATCCATCATAGAAAGAGATCTGCAAGGTGTTCATTATGACTTTGTCATGTGATTTACAACCTTCCCTTTCTTTCTTTTATCCTATTGATCCATCATAGAAAGAGATCTGCAAGGTGTTCATTGATGACTTTGTCATGTGATTTACAACCTTCCCTTTTCTTCTTTTATCCTATTGATCCATCATAGAAAGAGATCTGCAAGGTGTTCATTATGACTTTGTCATGTGATTTACAACCTTCCCTTTTCTTCTTTTATCCTATTGATCCATCATAGAAAGAGATCTGCAAGGTGTTCATTATTTCTTCTTTTATCCTATTGATCCATCATAGACTTTTCATGTCATGTGATTTACAACCTTCCCTTTTCTTCTTTTATCCTATTGATCCATCATAGAAAGAGATCTGCAAGGTGTTCATTATGACTTTGTCATGTGATTTACAACCTTCCCTTTTCTTCTTTTATCCTATTGATCCATCATAGAAAGAGATCTGCAAGGTGTTCATGATGACTTTGTCATGTGATTTACAACCTTCCTTTTCTTCTTTTATCCTATTGATCCATCATAGAAAGAGATCTGCAAGGTGTTCATTATGACTTTGTCATGTGATTTACAACCTTCCCTTTTCTTCTTTTATCCTATTGATCCATCATAAAGAGAAAGAGATCTGCAAGGTGTTCATTATGACTTTGTCATGTGATTTACAACCTTCCTTTTTTTCTTTTTATCCTATTGATCCATCATAGAAAGAGATCTGCAAGGTGTTCATTATGACTTTGTCATGTGATTTACAACCTTCCCTTTTCTTCTTTTATCCTATTGATCCATCATAGAAAGAGATCTGCAAAGGTGTTCATTATGACTTTTGTCATGTGATTTACAACCTTCCTTTTCTTCTTTTATCCTATTGATCCATCATAGAAAGAGATCTGCAAGGTGTTCATGATGACTTTGTCATGTGATTTACAATCTTCCTTTTCTTTTCTTTTTATCCTATTGATCCATCATAGAAAGAGATCTGCAAAGGTGTTCATTATGACTTTGTCATGTGATTTACAACCTTCCCTTTTCTTCTTTTATCCTATTGATCCATCATAGAAAGAGATCTGCAAGGTGTTCATTATGACTTTGTCATGTGATTTACAACCTTCCCTTTTCTTCTTTTTATCCTATTGATCCATCATAGAAAGAGATCTGCAAGGTGTTCATTATGACTTTGTCATGTGATTTACAATCTTCCCTTTTCTTCTTTTTATCCTATTGATCCATCATAGAAAGAGATCTGCAAGGTGTTCATTATGACTTTGTCATGTGATTTACAACCTTCCCTTTTCTTCTTTTATCCTATTGATCCATCATAGAAAGAGATCTGCAAGGTGTTCATTATGACTTTGTCATGTGATTTACAACCTTCACTTTTCTTCTTTTATCCTATTGATCCATCATAGAAAGAGATCTGCAAGGTGTTCATGATGACTTTGTCATGTGATTTACAACCTTCCTTTTCTTTTTCATTTGATCCATCATTGATCCATGTTCATATGAAAGAGATTTACAACCTTCCCTTTTTCTGTTTATCCCATTAGAAATGACTTTCATGTTCATGACTTTGTCATGTGATTTACAACCTTCACTTTTCTTCTTTTATCCTATTGATCCATCATAGAAAGAGATCTGCAAGGTGTTCATGATGACTTTGTCATGTGATTTACAACCTTCCCTTTTCTTATCTTATTGATCCATCATAGAAAGAGATCTGAAAGGTGTTCATTATGACTTTGTCAGGTGATTTACAACCTTCCCTTTTCTTCTTTTATCATATTGATCCATCATAGAAAGAGATCTGCAAGGTGTTCATGATGACTTTGTCATTTTACAACCTTCCCTTTATCCTATTGATCCATCATAGAAAGAGATCTGCAAGGTGTTCATGATGACATTATGACTTTGTCATTTGATTTACCACCTCCCTTTTCTTCTTTATCCTATTGATCCATCATAGAAAGAGATCTGCAAGGTGTTCATTATGACTTTGTCATGTGATTTACAACCTTCCCCTTTTCTTCTTTTTATCCTATTGATCCATCATAGAAAGAGATCTGCAAGGTGTTCATGATGACTTTGTCATGTGATTTACAACCTTCCTTTTCTTCTTTTATCCTATTGATCCATCATAGAAAGAGATCTGCAAGGTGTTCATTATGACTTTGTCATGTGATTTACAACCTCCCTTTTTTTTTATCCTATTGATCCATCATAGAAAGAGATCTGAAAGAGTTCTGCAAGGTGTTTTACATTATGACTTTGTCATTCTTTTATCCTTCCCTTTTCTTCTTTTATCCTATTGATCCATCATAGAAAGAGATCTGCAAGGTGTTCATTATGACTTTGTCATGTGATTTACAACCTTCCCTTTTCTTTTTTTATCCTATTGATCCATCATAGAAAGAGATCTGCAAGGTGTTCTATTATATGACTTTGTCATGTGATTTACAACCTTCCTTTTTTTCTTCTTTTATCCTATTGATCCATCATAGAAAGAGATCTGCAAGGTGTTCATGATGACTTTGTCATGTGATTTACAACCTTCCCTTTTCTTCTTTTATCCTATTGATCCATCATAGAAAGAGATCTGCAAGGTGTTCATTATGACTTTGTCATGTGATTTACAACCTTCCCTTTTCTTCTTTTATCCTATTGATCCATCATAGAAAGAGATCTGCAAGGTGTTCATTATGACTTTGTCATGTGATTTACAACCTTCCCTTTTCTTCTTTTATCCTATTGATCCATCATAGAAAGAGATCTGCAAGGTGTTCATGATGACTTTGTCATGTGATTTTGTTCCCTTTTCTTTTTTTCCTATTGATCCATCATTCCCTTTTTGTCTTCTTTTTATCCTTTTCTTCTTTTATCCTATTGATCCATCATAGAAAGAGATCTGCAAGGTGTTCATGATGACTTTGTCATGTGATTTACAACCTTCCCTTTTCTTCTTTTATCCTATTGATCCATCATAGAAAGAGATCTGTTCATGATGAGGTGTTTACAAGCTTCCCTTTTCTTCTATGACTTTGAAGGTGTTCATGTGATTTACAACCTTCCCTTTTCTTCTTTTATCCTATTGATCCATCATAGAAAGAGATCTGCAAGGTGTTCATTATGACTTTATTGTCATGTGATTTACAACCTTCCCTTTTCTTCTTTTTATCCTATTGATCCATCATAGAAAAGAGATCTGCAAGGTGTTCATTATGACTTTGTCATGTGATTTACAACCTTCCCTTTTCTTCTTTTTTATCCTTGATCCATCCCTGCAAGGTGTTCATTATGACTTTGTCATGTGATTTACAACCTTCCCTTTTCTTCTTTTTATCCTATTGATCCATCATAGAAAGAGATCTGCAACGTGTTCATGATGACTTTGTCATGTGATTTACACAATCTTCCCTTTTCTTCTTTTATCCTATTGATCCATCATAGAAAGAGATCTGCAAGGTGTTCATTATGACTTTGTCATGTGATTTACAACCTTCCCTTTTCTTCTTTTATCCTATTGATCCATCATAGAAAGAGATCTGCAAGGTGTTCATTATGACTTTGTCATGTGATTTAATCAACCCTTTTCTTCTTTTATCCTATTGATCCATTAGAAAAAGATTTTTCATCATGTCATGATCCATTCATTTTCTTCTTTTAAGAGAAGAGATGCAAGGTGTTCATGATGACTTTGTCATGTGATTTACAATCTTCCTTTTTTCTTTTATCCTATTGATCCATCATAGAAAGAGATCTGGGAAGGTGTTCATTATGACTTTGTCATGTGATTTACAACCTTCCCTTTTCTTTTTATCCTATTGATCCATCATAGAAAGAGATCTGCAAGGTGTTCATTATGACTTTGTCATGTGATTTACAACCTTCCCTTTTCTTCTTTTTATCATATTGATCCATCATAGAAAGAGATCTGCAAGGTGTTCATTATGACTTTGTCATGTGATTTACAACCTTCCCTTTTCTTCTTTTTCTTATTGATCCATCATAGAAAGAGATCTGCAAGGTGTTCATGATGACTTTGTCATGTGATTTTACAACCTTCCCTTTTCTTCTTTTATCCTATTGATCCATCATAGAAAGAGATCTGCAAGGTGTTCATTTATGACTTTGTCATGTGATTTTCATGATGAATTTTGTCTTCCTTTTCTTCTTTTATCCTATTGATCCATCATAGAAAGAGATCTGCAAGGTGTTCATTATGACTTTGTCATGTGATTTACAACCTTCCTTTTCTTCTTTTATCCTATTGATCCATCATAGAAAGAGATCTGCAAGGTGTTCATTATGACTTTGTCATGTGATTTTTCAACCTTCCCTTTTCTTCTTTTATCCTATTGATCCATCATAAAAGAGATCTGGAAGGTGTTCATTATGACTTTGTCAGGTGATTTACAACCTTCCCTTTTTCTTTTTTATCCTATTGATCCATCATAGAAAAGAGATCTGCAAGGTGTTCATTATGACTTTGTTCATGTGATTTACAACCTTCCCTTTTCTTCTTTTTTATCCTATTGATCCATCATAGAAAGAGATCTGCAAGGTGTTCATTATGACTTTGTCATGTGATTTACAACCTTCCCTTTTCTTCTTTTTATCATATTGATCCATCATAGAAAGAGATCTGCAAGGTGTTCATTATGACTTTGTTATGATTTACAATCTTCCCTTTTCTTCTTTTATCCTATTGATCCATCATAGAAGAGATCTGTAAGGTGTTCATTGATGACTTTGTCATTCTTTTTATAACCTTCCCTTTTCTTCTTTTTTATCAAATTGATCCATCATAGAAAGGATCTGCATTGTGTTCATTTGTGTCATGTGATTTACAACCTTCCTTTTCTTCTTTTATCCTATTGATCCATCATAGAAAGAGATCTGCAAGGTGTTCATTCCCTTTTCTTTGTTATCCTATTTCCATCACAACTTCCCTTTTCTTCTTTTATCCTTTGATCCATAATAGAAAGAGATCTGCAAGGTGTTCATTATGACTTTGTCATTGATTTACAACCTTCCTTTTCTTCTTTTTATCATATTGATCCATCATAGAAAGAGATCTGCAAAGGTGTTCATTATGACTTTGTCATGTGATTTACAATCTTCCCTTTCTTCTTTTATCCTATTGATCCATCATTGATCCATCAGGTATTTCCATGTGATTTACAACCTTCTTTTCTTTTTTATCATATTGATCCATCTAGAAAGAGATCTTCATGATGACTTTGTCATACTTTACCCTTCCCTTTCTTCTTTTATCCTATTGATCCATCATAGAAAGAGATCTGCAAGGTGTTCATTATGACTTTGTCATGTGATTTACAACCTTCCCTTTTCTTCTTTTATCCTATTGATCCATCATTTTTTTTCTGCAAGGTGTTCATTTTTTCTTCTTTTGTCTTTTTTACAACATTCCCTTTCTTTTTTATTCTTCCATTCTTCTTTTGAGATCTGCAAGGTGTTCATGATGACTTTGTCTGTGATTTACAATCTTCCTTTCTTCTTTTATCCTATTGATCCATCTTCTAAGAGATCCAAGGTGTTCCTTATTCTTTGTCATCTGATTTTTTCCTTCCCTTTTTCTTTTATCATATTGATCCATCATAGAAAAGAGATCTAAGGTGTTCATGATGACTTTGTCATGTTTTACCTTTTTTTCTTTTATCCTATTGATCCATCATAGAAAGAGATCTGCAAGTTGTTCATGATGACTTCTTCATCTGATTTACAACCTTCCCTTTTCTTCTTTTTTATCCTTGATCCATATAGAAAGAGATCTGCAAGGTGTTTCTTGACTTTTGTGATTTACAACCTTCCCCTTTCTTTTTTCTTTATCCTATTGATCCATCATAGAAAGAGATCTTTTCTGTTCATTATGACTTTGTCTACTGATTTACAACTTCCTTTTCTTCTTTATCCTCTTGATCCATCATAGAAAGAGATTCCTCTTTCTTCTTTTTTTTCTTTATTTTTCAACCTTCCTTTTTCTTCTTTTTATCTTGATTTTAAAGAGATTCTGTTCTTCCTTTGTTTTTACAACCTTCTTTTCTTCTTTTTCTTTTCCATCATAGAAAGAGATCTTTCTTTTCTTTATTTTTCTTCTTTTATTTCTCTTCTTTTATCTTCCTCTTTCATTCTTCTTCTTCTTTTTCTACTACCTCTTTTCCTTTTCTTCTTCTTCTTCTGATCTACTAAAAAGAGATTCCTCTTTGTTCTTTTCTTTTCTTTTATTTTCTTCCCTTTTCTTTTTATCCTTCTTCTTCTTTATTTTAGATCTTCTTTTTATCTTTCTCTTCTTCTTCTTTTTTTTTTCTTTATCCTATTGATCCATCTTTCTTCTTCTTCTTCTTCTTCTTCTTTTTATCCCTTTTCTTTTTTTTATTCTTCCATCTTCCTTCTTCTTTTTTTTTTATCTTTTCTTCTTCTTACAACTTCCCTTTTTTTTTATCCTATTTCCATCATTCTTCTTCTTTTCATTCTAATTTTCCCTTCCCTCTTTCTTCTTCTTCTTCTTCCTTCTACTAAAAGAAAGAGATCCTCTTTTCTTCTTCTTTTTCTTTTCCTACTTCTTTTTATCTTTTGATCCATCTTTCTTCTTCTTCTTCTTTTCTTTCTTCTTTTTCTTCTTTTTTCTATTATGACTCTTCCTCTTTTCTTTAGAAAGAGTTCTTCTTCTTTTCTTCTTCTTCTTCCCTTCCTTATCTTCTTCCATCTTTCTTTTCTTCTTCTTTTCTCCTTTTTCTTCCTTCTTCTTCTTCTTCTTTATTTTTTTACTAGAGATCTTTTCTTTCTTCTTCTTCTTCTTTTCCCTTTCCTTCTTTCTTCTTCTTCTTCTTTCTTCTTCTACTTTTTTTCCTCTTTCTTCTTCTTTTCTTCCATCTTCTACTACTTCCTTTCTTTTTCTTTTTCTTCTTCTTCTTTTTTTTTTTACTCCATTCCCTTTCTTCTTCTTCTTCTTTTTTACTCTTCTTTTTCCCTTTCTTTTCTTCTTCTTTCTTTATCAATCATTCCTCCGTTCTTCTTTTTCTTCTTCTTCTTTTTTCTTTTACTGTCCCTTCCTCTTTCTTCTTCTTCTTCTTCTTCTTCTTTTTCTTTTTCTTCCTCTTTCTACTTCTTCTTCTTCTACTACTTTTTCCTCTTTTCTTCTTCTTCTCTCTTTTCTTTCTTCTTTTATCCACTTCCTCTTTTTCTTCTTTTTCTTCTTCCTTTTCTTCTTCTTTGTCTTTTTTCTTCTTCTTCTTTTATCATCTTCCTCTTTCTTCTTCTTCTTCTTTTTCTACTACTACTCCTCTTCCTCTTTCTTTATCTTCTTCTTTTCTTCTTTACTCCTTCCTCTTTCTTCTTCTTTTATACTTCCTTTTCCGCTTTTTATCTTGATTCTTCTTCTTTCTTCTTTGTAGCCGTCAACTTCCCCTTTCTTCTTCTTCTTCCTTTTCTAATTTAAGAGATCTCCTTTTCTCTTTCTTCTTCTTCTTCTTCTTTTCTTTTTTATCCTATTTCCTCTTTCTTCTTCTTCTTCTTTTTCTTCTTTTTCAACATTCCTTCTTCTTCTTTTTCTTCTTTTAATACTCCTTCCTTTTTTCTTCTTCTTCTTTTCTACTTTTATCCTTCCTCTTTTCTTCTTTATTCTTCTTTTTCCTTTTCTTTTCCTTCATATTCCATCCTTTTCTTCTTTTTCTTCTTTCTCCTTTTCCTCTTTTCTTCTTCTTCTTCTTCTTTTCTTCTTTCCTCTTTCTTCTTTCTTCTTCTTTTTTTTTACTCCTATCCTCTTTCTTCTTCATAGAAAGAGTTCTTAGGTCTTCTTTCCTCTTTCTTCTTCTTTTCAACACTTCTTTCTTTTTTCCTTTCTTCTTCTTCTTCTTTTTCTACTTCTTCTCCTTCCTCTTTTTTCTTCTTCTTTTTCTTCTACTACTGATCCATTCCCTCTTTCTTGTTCTTTTCTACTTTCTTCTCTTTCTTCTTTTTTTTTTTATCTATTGGATCCACTTCTCTTTCTTCTTCTTCTTCTTTTCTCTACTACAATCCTTCCTCTTTCTTCTTCTTCTTCTTTATTCTACTACTAAGAGATCTTCCTCTTTCTTCCTTTCTTCTGTTTTTTTACTTTCCCTTTCTTCTTTCTTCTTCTTAGAAAGAGATCTACTTCTTCTTTTTTTCTTTTTCTTTTCTTCTTCTTCTTGATCTTTAGAACTTTCTTCTTCTTCTTTTACTTCTTCCTCTTCTTCTTTTTATCTTCTTCTTCTTTTCTACTACTTATCCTTCCTCTTTTCTTCTTCTTCTTCTTTTCTACTACTACTCTTCCTCTTTCTTCTTCTTCTTCTTTTTCTACTTCTTTTTATCCCTTCCTTTCTTCTTCTTCTTCTTCTTCTTAAAACTCACTTCCTCTTTCTTCTTCTTTTCTTCTTTCTCCCTTCTTCTTTCTTCTTCTTCTTCTTTTCTACTACTCCTTCCTCTTTCTTCTTCTTCTTCTTTTTCTTTTTCTTCTTTCCTTCTTTCTTCTTCTTCTTCTTTTCTACTACTACTCCGCTTCCTCTTTCTTCTTCTTCTTCTTCTTCTACTACTACTCCGCTTCCTCTTTCTTCTTCTTCTTCTTCTTCTACTACTACTCCGCTTCCTCTTTCTTCTTCTTCTTCTTTTCTTCTTTCTTCTTCCTTTTCTTCTTCTTTTCTTCTTTTTTTTCTTCTTTCTTCTTCTTCTTCTTTCTCCTCTACTTCTTCTTTCTTCTTCTTCTTCTTTTCTCCTACTACTCCACTCCCTTTCTTCTTTTCTTCTTTTCTACTTTTTTTTATCCTTTCTTTCTTCCTTCTACTTCTTCTTCTTCTTCTTCTTTTCTTCTTTTTTTTTCCTTCTTCCTCTTTCTTCTTCTTCTATCTTCTACTTGATTTATCCCTTCCTCTTTCTTCTTCTTTTTCCTTTCTCTACTACTCCTTCCTTTCTTTCTTCTTCTTTTCTTCCTCTACTTCTTACTCTTTTTTCCAGAGATCTTCTTTCTTCTTCTTCTTCTACTTCTACTCCACCTTCCTCTTTCTTCTTCTTCTTCTTTTTTCTTCCTCTTTTTCCTCTTTCTTCTTCTTCTTCTACTTACTCCTTTCTCTTTCTTCTTCTTCTCTTCTTCTTCTTCTACTTCTTCCTCTTTCTTCTTTCTTCTTCTTCTTCTTTTTCTTCTTCTTCTTTTCTTTACTTTTTTCCTCTTTCTTCTTCTTCTTCTTTTCTACTACTACTCCGCTTCCTCTTTCTTCTTCTTCTTCTTTTACTATCTCCCTTCCTCTTTCTTCTTCTTCTTCTTTTCTACTACTACCTTTTGTCTTTCTTCTTCTTCTTCTTCTTCTACTTTTTCTTCCTCTTTCTTCTTCTTCTTCTTTCTTTTCCCTTCCTCTTTCTTCTTTTCTTCTTTTTCTACTTTTCCATTTATTCCTTTTTTTTCTTCTTCTTCTTCTTTTTCTACTACTTCCTTCCCTTTTTCTTCTTCTTCTTCTTTCCCTTCTCCCTTCCTCTTTCTTCTTCTTCTTCTTTTTTTCTTTTTCTCCTTTCCTCTTTCTTCTTCTTCTTCTTCTTCTTCTTCTACTCTTTTTTTCTTTTTTTCTTCTTCTTCTTTTTCTACTTTCTTTCTTTCCTCTTTCTTCTTCTTTTTCTTCTTCTTTTTCTATTTTTTTCCCTTCCTCTTTCTTCTTCTTCTTCTTCTTTTTCCTTCCTCTTCTTCTTTTTTTCTTCTTTTTTCTTCTTCTTCTTTTTTTTTTCCCACTTCCTTTTCTTCTTCTTCTTTTTCTTTTTTTACTCCCTTCCTCTTTCTTCTTCTTTTCTTTCTTTTTTGTCTACTACTTCTTTCCTCTTCTTTCTTCTTCTTCTTCTTCTACTACTCCACTTCCTCTTTCTTCTTCTTCTTTTTCTTTCACTTTCTTCTTTTTCCTCTTTCTTCTTCTTCTTCTACTTTCCCTTCTCTTTTTCTTCTTCTTCTTCTTTTTTCCTATTTCTTCTTCTTCTTTCTTCTTCTTCTTCTTCTTTCTTCTTTCCTTTTCTTCTTCTTCTTCTTTTCTTTCTTTAAGTATCCTTTGTTCTTTTCTTTTTTTTACTTTTTCTCTTCCTCTTCTTCTTCTTCTTCTTCTACTTTTACTCCCTTTCTTCTTCTTCTTCTTCTTTTCTACTACTACTTTTCCTCTTTTCTTCTTCTTCTTTTTCTTCTAATTCTTCTTTTTCCTTTCTTTTCTTTTCTTCTTTTTCTACTTCCTTTTTCTTCTTTTATCTTCTTTTTCTTCTTTTTCCTTCTTCTTTTCTTTTTTACTACTTTCTTTCCTCTTTCTTCTTCTTCTTCTACTACTACTCCGCTTCCTCTTTCTTCTTCTTCTTCTTTTCTACTACTCTTTCTTCCTTTTCTTCTTCTTCTTCTTTTTCTTTCTTTAAGTCCCTTCCTCTTTCTTCTTCTTCTTCTTTTCTACTACTTCTTCTTTTCCTCTCCTTCTTCTTCTTCTTCTTTTCTTTTACTCCTTTCCTCTTTCTTCTTCTTCTTTTCTTTTTCTTCCTCTTTCTTCTTCTTCTTCTTCTTCTACTTTCCTTTCTTTCTTCTTCTTTTCTTTCTTCTTTTTTCTTTTCCTCCTTTCTTCTTCTTCTTTTTCCTGTTTTTTTCTTCTTTTTCTTCTTCCTTCTTCTTTTTTTCCATTTCCTCTTTCTTCTTCTTCTTCTTCTTTTCTTCTTTTTCTTCCATTCCTCTTTCTTCTTCTTCTTCTTTCTACTACTTCTTTTTTTTATTCTTCTTCTTCTTCTTTTTTTTTCTTCTTTCCACTTCCTCTTTCTTCTTCTTCTTCTTTTTTCTCTACTACTCCTACTTCCTCTTTTTTCTTCTTCTTTTCTACTACTCCATTTTCTTCTTTCTTCTTTTTTTTTTCTAGAACTACTTTCTTTATTTCTTCTTCTTCTTCTTCTTTTCTCTACTTCCTTTCTTTTCTTCTTCTTCTTCTTTTTCTTTTACCTATTTCTTTCTTCCTTTTTTTCTTCTTCTTTTTTTCTTTTTTTCCAATTGTCTTTCTTCTTCTTTTTTCTTCTTTTTCTTTTTTTCCTCTTTTTTCTTCTTCTTCTTTTTCTACTACTACTCCCTTCCTTTTCTTCTTCTTCTTCTCTTCTACTACTATTCCTCTTTCTTCTTCTTTTTTCTTTTCTTCTACTTTGTTTTTTCTTCCTTTCTTTTTCTTCTTCTTTTTTCTTTCTTCTTCTCCTTCTTTCTTTCTTTTTCTTCTTTTTTCTTTTTTTTCTTCTTTTTCTTCTTCTTCTTCTTTTTCTTTTCTTTAAGTCCACTTCCTTTTTCTTCTTCTTTTTCTTTTTCTTTTCTTTTTCTTTTTCTTCTTCTTCTTCTTCTTTTACTACTTCTTCTTCCTTTTTCTTCTTCTTTTCTTTTTTTACTATTCCTTTTTTTTTTTTTCTTTTTCTTCTTTTTTTTTTTCTTTTTTTTTTTCTTCTTCTTTCTTCTTCTTCTTCTTTCATTTCTTTTTCTTCTTTTTCTTTCTTTCTTTTTCTTCTTTTCTTTCCTTTTTCTTTTTTTTCTTTTCTATACTTTCTTCTTTTTTTCTTCTTTTTCTTTACTCCTTTCTTTGTTCTTTTCTTTTTTTTCTTTTTCTTTCTTCCTCTTTCTTCTTCTTCTTTTTCTTTCCCTTCCTCTTTCTTCTTCTTCTTCTTTTCTTTCTTTTACTCCAACTTTGTTCTTTCTTCTTCTTCTTCTTTTTTTTAAGTCCTTTCCTTTTTCTTCTTTTTCTTCTTTTACCTACTTTCTTCCTTTTTCTTCTTCTTCTTCTTTTTACTACTATTCATTGTTTTTTCTTCTTCTTCTTTTTTCTACTACTACTCCGCTTCCTCTTTCTTCTTCTTCTTCTTTTCTTTTATTTTAAGTCTTCCTCTTTCTTCTTCTTCTTCTTTTTTACTCTTCTTTCTTCTTTTTTCTTCTTCTTCTTTTCTACTACTACTCCTCTTTCCTTTTCTTCTTCTTCTTCTTTTTCTTACTACTTTCCCCTCCTTCTTTTCTTCTTCTTTCTTTACTACTCCGCTTCCCCCTCTTTCTTCTTCTTCTTCTTTTTCTTCTCTAGAATACTTTCCTCTTTTTTCTTCTTCTTCTTCTTCTACTCCCATCCCTCTTTTTTTCTTCTTCTTCTTCTTCTACTACTCCGCTTCCTCTTTCTTCTTCTTCTTCTTTTTCTACTACTACTCTTCTTTTTTCTTCTTCTTCTTCTTCTTCTTCTACTACCACTTCTTTCTTTCTTTTTCTTCTTCTTTTTTCTACTTCTTCTTCTTTTTTTCTTCTTCTTTTTTTCTTCTTCCTTTTCTTTTCTTCTTTTTCCTTTCCTCTTTCTTCTTCTTCTTCTTTTCTACTTTTTCTCCCTTCCTCTTTTCTTCTTCTTCTTCTTCTACTTCTTTTCCTCTTTCTTCTTCTTCTTCTTTTTCTACTACTACTCCGCTTCCTCTTTCTTCTTCTTCTTCTTTTTCTACTACTACTCCGCTTCCTCTTTCTTCTTTTCTTCTTCTTCTACTACTACTCCGCTTCCTCTTTCTTCTTCTTCTTCTACTACTACTCCGCTTCCTCTTTCTTCTTCTTCTTCTTTTTCTACTACTACTCCGCTTCCTCTTTCTTCTTCTTCTTCTTCTTTTTCTATACTTTCTTCCTCTTTCTTCTTCTTCTTTTAAGTTTTCTTTTTTCTACTTTCTTTCCTCTTCTTCTTCTTCTTCTTTCTACTTACTACTTCTTTTTTTTCTTTCTTCTTCTTCTTTTCTACTTTTTTTTTCTTCTTCTTTTTCTTTTTCTTCTTTCTTCTTCTTCTTTCTTTCTTTCTTTTCCTTCCATTTCTTTTTCTTCTTCTTCTTCTACTTTTATCCTTCCTCTTTCTTCTTCTTCTTCTTTTTCTACTACTACTCCGCTTCCTCTTTCTTCTTCTTCTTCTTCTACTACTACTCTTCCTCTTTCTTCTTCTTCTTCTTTTAAACTACTCCATTTTTTTTTCTTCTTCTTCTTCTTCTACTACTACTTCTTCCTCTTTCTTCTTCTTCTTTTTTTTTCTTTCCCTTCCCTTTTTTTTCTTCTTCTTCTTTTTTTCTACTTGAAGTTCCTCTTTCTTCTTCTTCTTCTTTTTCTACTTGTCCAAAATCCTCTTTCTTCTTCTTCTTCTTTTTCTACTACTACTCCGCTTCCTCTTTCTTCTTCTTCTTCTTTTTCTACTACTACTCCGCTTCCTCTTTCTTCTTCTTCTTCTTCTTCTCTTGTTCCTTCCTCCTTCTTCTTCTTCTTCTTCTTTAACTCTCCATTTCCTTTTCTTCTTCTTCTTTTTTTTCTTGAACTTTCCTCCGCTTTCTTTTTCTTCTTCTTCTTTTTTTAAAACTATGCATTTTCTCCTTCTTCTTCTTCTTCTTCTTTAAGACTACTTTCTTCTTTCTTTCTTCTTCTTCTTCTTTTCTACTTTTACTCCATTCCTCTTTCTTCTTCTTCTTCTTTTTCTTTTCTACTCCTTTCCTCTTTCTTCTTCTTCTTCTTTTTTAAGTCTATTCCTTTTTTCTTTCTTCTTCTTTTTTCTACTACTACTCCTTTCTTCTTTTTCTTCTTCTTCTTTTCTTACTACTCCACTTCCTTTTTCTTCTTCTTTTTCTTTTTACTATGCCCTTCTTTTCTTTCTTCTTCTTCTTTTCTACTTTCTACTCCTTCCTCTTTCTTCTTTCTTCTTCTTCTTCTTCTTTTCCTTTTTCTTCTTTCTTTCTTCTTCTTTTTTGTCTTCTTTTTCATTTCTTCTTTTTCTTCTTCTTTTCTTCTTTCTTGAATCTTTTCCTCTTCTTCTTCTTCTTTTTTACTACTCCCTTTCTTTCTTTCTTCTTCTTTTTTCTCTGTTCTCCCTTCTTTTTTCTTCTTCTTCTTCTTTTTCTCCTACTCTTCTTTTCTTTCTTCTTCTTCTTCTTCTTCTTTTTTCTCCCTTCCTCTTTCTTCTTCTTCTTCTTTCTTTTTTTCCTTCCCTCTTTTTCTTCTTTTCTTTTCTTACTCTTCCTCTTTCTTCTTCTTCTTTCTTTTTCTTTTTCTTTTTCTTTCTTCTTCTTCTTTTCTTCTTCTTATCCTCTTTCCTCTTTCTTCTTCTTCTTTCTTTAAATCCTTCCTGTTTTATCTTTTTCTTCTTTTCTTTTTTTTTCCCTTCCTCTTTCTTCTTTTTCTTCTTTTCCTCTACTACTCCCTTCCTCTTTCTTCTTCTTCTTCTTCCTTCCTCAGTTCTTCTTTTTCTTCTTCTTCTTTCTTTTTTTCCCTTCCTCTTTCTTCTTCTTCTTCTTTTTTACTCCCTTCCACTTCCTCTTTCTTCTTCTTCTTTTCTTCTTTTACTCCATTTCCTCTTTTTCTTCTTCTTCCTTTTCTTCTTTTTTTCCTCCTTCTTCTTTTCTTCTTTTATCCTTTCCTCTTTCTTCTTTATTTTTCTCCTTTCTTCTTTTTATCTTCTTCTTTCTTCTTTTTTCTACCTTCTGTTCTTCTTTTTTTCTTTTTCTTCTTCTTCTTTTATTTCCTCCTTCTTCTTTTTCTTCTTTTCTTCTTCTTTTTTTGTTCTTCTCATTTCCTCTTTTCTTCTTCTTTCTTCTTTTTTCCCTTCCTCTTTCTTCTTTCTTCTTCTTTTTACTTTTTTTGTTTTCCTCTTTCTTCTTCTTTTTCTTTTCTTCTTTCTTCTTTTTCTTTTTCCTCTTTTTTTTTCTTTTCTTTCTTCTTTACTTTCTCCCTTCCTTCTTTCTTCTTCTTTCTTCTTTTTTTCTTCTTTTTCTTTTTTTCTTTCTTCTTCTTCTTCTCTTTCTTTTTCTTTTTCTTTTTCCTCTTTCTTCTTCTTCTTTTATCTTTTCTCTTTCTTTTTTTTTCCTCTTTTTCTTCTTTTTCTTCTTTCTCCCTTCCTCTTTTTCTTCTTCTTCTTCTTCTACTTTATCCATTCTTTGTTCTTTCTTCTTCTTCTTCTCTTTCTTTTTTTCCCTTCCTCTTTCTTCTTTTTTTCTTCTTTTTCTACTACTTTTATCTTCCTCTCTTTCTTCTTCTTCTTCTTTTTTCTCTTTTACTTCCTCTTTCTTCTTCTTCTTTCTTTTTTCTTCTTTTTTTTCTTCTTCTTCTTTTTTTTTCTACTCCTCCTTCTTCTTTTTTTCTTCTTCTTCTTCTTCTTCTTTTTATCCCTTCCTCTTTCTTCTTCTTTTCTTTCCTCTCTTCTTTTTTTCTTCTTCTTCTTTTTCTTCTTTTTTCCCTTCCTCTTTCTTCTTTTTTTTCTTTTCTTCTTTTTCTCTTCCTTCTTTCTTCTTCTTTTTCTCCCTTCTTTTTTTTCTTCTTCTTCTTTTTTTCTCTTTCTTCTTTCTTTTCTTCTCTTTCCTTCTTTGTTCTTCTTTCTTCTTCTTCTTTTTTCCTCTTTCTTCTTTTGATCTTTTCCTCTTTTCTTCTTTTATCTTCCTCTTTCTTCTTTTTATCTTTTCTTCTTTTTTTTCTTCTTTTTTCTTTTCTTCTTCTTCTTTTCTATCATTTCTCTGTTCCTCTTTTTTCTTCTTCTTCTTCTTCTTTTTTTCTTTCCTCTTCTTCTTTTTCTTCTTCTTTTCTTTTTTTATCCCTTCCTCTTTCTTCTTCTTTTTTCTTTTCCTCTCCCTTCTTTTTTCCTTCTCTTCTTCTTCTTTTACTACTACTCTTTTCTTCTTTTTTCCTTTCTTTCTTTTTTCTTTTATCATTTCCTCTGTTCTTCTTTTTTCTTTTTCTCTACTTCTTTTTTTCCTTTCTTCTTCTTCTTCTTTTATTTTTTCCTTCCTCTTTCTTTTTCTTTTCTTTTCTCTTCTTCTTTTCTTTTCCTCTTTCCTCTTTCTTCTTTTTATCTTTTTCTGTTCTTCTTTTTTCTTCTTCTCTTTTCTTCTTTTTTCCTTTCCTCTTCTTCTTTTTTTTATTCCCTTTCTTCTTTTCTTCTTCTCTCACTTCTTCTTTTTCTCCTTCCTCTCTTCTTCTTTTTATCTTTCCTCTTTCTTCTTTTTCTTCTTTCTTCTTTTTTTCATTTCCTCTTTCTTTTTTTTCTTCTTCTTCTTTTTTCTACTTCTTTTCTTTTTTTCCTTTCTTTTCTTCTTTTTCTTCTTTCTTTTCTTTTCCTTCCTTTTTTCTTCTTCTTCTTTTTCTGTTCTTCTTTTTTATCTTTCTCTTTCTTCTTTTTCTTCTTCTTCTTCTTCTTTTATCCCTTCCTCTTTCTTCTTTTTTTCTTTTTTCCTCTGTTCTTCCTTTTCTTCTTTTTTCTTCTTTTTGTCCTTCCTCTTTCTTCTTTTTTCTTTCTTCTTTTCTTTTTCTCCCTTCCTCTTTTCTTCTTTTTCTTCTTCTTTTCTTCTTTTTTTTTATTCTTTCTTCTTCTTTTTTCTTCTTCCTCTTTCTTCTTTTCTTTCTTCTCTTTCTTTCTCCTTCTTTCTCTTTCTTTTTTCTTCTTTTCCTCTTTCTCTTTTTTCTTCCTTCTTCTTTTCTTCTTTTATCCCTTCCTCTTTCTTCTTCTTTCTTCTTTTCTACTACTCTTCTTTTTTCCTTCTTCTTTTTCTTTTTTGTCCCTTCCTCTCAGTTCTTTTTTTTCTTTCTTTTTTCTTCTTTTTATCCCTTCCCTCTTTCTTCTTCTTCTTCTTCTTTCTCTTAAAGAATTTCTTTTTCTTTTTCTTCTTCTTTCTTTTATCCTTCCTCTTTCTTCTTCTTCTTTTTCTACTTTTGTCCGCTTCCTTCTTTCTTTCTCTTCTTCTTCTACTTTCCCTTCCTCTTCTTCTTTTTCTTCTTTTCTACTACTGTTCTTCTTTTTCTTCTTTTCTTCTTTTCTTCTTTTATCCCTTCCTCTTTCTTCTTCTTCTTTTTTTCTTCTTCTATCCCTTCCTCTTTCTTCTTCTTCTTCTTCTTCTTCTTTTACTCCTTCCTCTTTTCTTCTTTTTCTTCTTTTTCTTCTTTTCCACTTCCTCTTTCTTCTTCTTCTTCTTTTCTCTACTTTCCTTTCCCTCTTTCTTCTTTTCTTCTTTTTATCCTTCCTCTTTCTTCTTTTCTTTTTTTTCTTCTTCTTTTATCTTTTCTTCTTTTTCTTCTTCTTTTCTCTGTTCTTTTTTATCTTTTTCCTCTTTCTTTTTTTCTTCTTTTCTACTACTCTTCTTTCCTTCTTTCTTCTTCTTTTCTTTTTCTATACTACTCCACTTTCTTTCTTCTTTTTTCTTTTCTTCTATCTACTTTCTTCCTCTTTTTCTTCTTTTTCTTCTTTTCATCTACTTCTTTTTTTTCCTTCCTCTTTCTTCTTTTTCTTCTTTTTTTTTTAAACTTCTTCTTCTTTTCTTTTTCTTTCTTCTTTCCTCCTCTTTTCTTTTCTTCTTTTATCCCTTCCTCTTTCTTCTTTTTCTTTCTTCTTTTCTTCTTTTTCCTCTTTTCCTCTTTTTCTTTTTTTCTTTTTTCTTTCTTCATTATCTTCTTTTCTTTTCTTTTTTTCTCATTTCCTCTTTCTTCTTTTTCTTCTTCTTTCTTTCTTTACATTTCTTCTTCTTCTTCTTCTTTTCTTCCTTTTTCTTCTTTCTTCTTCTTTTTCTTTTCTTCTTTTTTCCCTTCCTCAGTTCTTCTTTTATCATTCCTCTGTTCTTTTTTTATCCTTCCTCTTTCTTCTTCTTTTCTTTCCTTATTTCTTCTTTTTCTTTTCCTCTTTCTTCTTTTCTCATTTCCTCTTTCTTCTTTTTTTTTCTTCTAATTCTTCTCCTTTTTTTCTTTCTTCTTTTCTTCTTTTATCATTTCCTCTTTCTTCTTTTTTCTTCCTTCCTCTTCTTCTTTTTATCCCTTCCTCTGTTCTTCTTTTTCTTTCCTCTCTAAAAACGTTCTTCTTTTTCTTTCTCTTCTTTTTTTTTCATTTCTCCTGTTCTTCTTTTTCTCATTTCCTCTGTTCTTTTTTTATTCCTTTTCTCAGTTCTTCTTTTTTTCTTTTCTTCTTTTCTTCTTTTTTCTTCTTTTCCTCTGTTCTT